CGCGCCAGAAAATAAAGGCACAACCAAACTTGCTTGTATTGCTTGCACTTTTGTTGCCAACAGCCATATTGGATTATTCGACTAATGTAAAATCCTTCTTGCATATACTGTCATATCTGTAAGGAAAGAGGCTCTATTATATATATATATATATATATATATATATATATATATATATATATATATATATATATATATATATATATATATATATATATATTTTCATTTAGGGTGGGGCGAGACAGGTGCCACTTATTTCAGAAACATTTTAGTTTCGATAGGATGCAAAAGTTAAGGTAATTACTTCTCAGTGGATAGCGTATTGCTGGAGAGACCAAGAATATATAGAATCAAACCAAATTTTGAACCAATGCATTTATTATCCATCATAGTTTTGTGTGTAGTTAGATGTTCCTAAACGTTTGTCGATGATTTATCAGGATTGTCTGTACCCAAGATACCAGGTTGTGTACTCTGCACTGAAGCCGTTTTAAGACGTTTGGGGGCCCTAGGCACAAACACTAAACTGCTAACACAACCGACACCGAAATTTTGTTTTTGGGCCTCCGCGGTGGTCCCTGGGCACGTGCCTCGCGTGCTTATGACTGAAAACGGTACTGCTCTGCACTCAAAACATAAAGTTTATCAGGTACGAGAGGCAGAAAAGATTTATGTTCATAATTTTAACTTACCATATAGCACCCATTACATCGGTCATTTGATTTAAAACTGCATTTCCCATGGATTCGTGTTCTCCCCAAAAATACACAGTCGGCCATCTAATCAGTTCCTCCAACCCCCACGTTGGTGACAATATTGTGTAGAAAACATACCTACACATCCTCACATCATCCATACAAATCAGCACAAAAGGATCTCATTACTATTTTTTGTATTTGATTTGGGGTTTTGCATTCTTTTTTATGGAGCTGGGTTTTTGTTTTCTTTCCGAACTGGAACAGAGCATCTTTTGTTGAACTGTCTTTCCCAAAAAGATATATTTCAGTATGTGAATACTTTACCTTTGACACAGAATGTAACGTTAATAAAATATCCTGCACAATCCAGATACCTGCTTAAAGATATATTAGTGTAAACATTAGCAGAATTCTTTCCTTATACGAGTATAAAAACATTCAAATATATATTCTTTTTGGAAAGAAAAAAACTTTAAAAAAATGCCTTAAAACCTGTTCTATTCATTTTTTTGCACTAATCGTTAGTTTAGTGATTCTGAATGATTAACTTAAAAAAAATCCTACGAATATATAATTAGATATGAAACTATCTTTCACCTTTTCATATTTCTCTGCACAACAAACCTTATAAATGTCAAGAAGCATTGGTTTTAAAGGCATAAAACTCTGTTGGACTTTGGGTTGAAATGTCATAACTGAATATTTAACAGCATTTAGTAAACGGATACTTTCTGATAACATAACTGCAAGAACTGCATGTACATTTATATTAATTTCTAACCGATGCATGCATATTGATGCATACGAACATCTATCGAACAAGCGAGAATAATATAGATGTTAAGAACTCAATTCTTCAACATTATGGACTAAATGATACTGATAACTTGAAGCAAAACAGCGACAATATATGTACATATGTGATTCTTTCAAATATATGCATCTTGGTACAATCTATACACACGTACATAAATCTATCTATACACACGTACATAAATCTATCTATACACACGTACATAAATCTACTTATATATACAGGTACATCAATCTGTCTATGCACAAGTACATCATTATATCTATACACATGTACAAATATCTACTTACATCAATCTACCTATACACACTTACATAAAATCTATCTATACACACGTACATAAATCTACCTATGTACATGTACAAACAATCTACCTATAAACACCCCGCTCCGGTGGCCTGGTGGATAGATCGTCCGCCTCAGATCCGGGAGGTCGTGGGTTCGATCCCCCGTCGAGTCATACCAAAGACTTACAATAATGGTACTAACAGCATCCTCGTTTGGCGCTCAGCATTAAGAGGTTAGTGTTAGGACTGGTCGGCCTAGTGTCAGGATAATGTTACTGGTTGGGACATCATGCAACACGTCTGCGGCATGATGCCCCAGTACTAGACATCACTATAAACTGCCACACAGGAAATCGTAGCGATATGACTAAAAAATTGTTAAAACTACGTTAAAGATCATAATCACATCACACCTATAAACACGTACATAAATCTATACACGCGTACATAAATATACCTATACACACATAGCAACAATCTCACTATACACAATTACATCAATTTACCTGTACACACGTACAAACAATCAACCTGTAGACACGTACATCAGTGTGCTTATATACAGGTACAAGAATCTATCTATAAACACGTATATCATTCTATCTATACACACGTACAAGAATCTACGCACATCAATCTACCGTTACACATATGCATCAACCTACCTATACTCACGTACATCACGCTCTCTATACACACATACATCAGCTATCTACACACGTACATAAATCTATCTTTACGCACGCACATATATCTACCTATACGCACCTACATCAGTCTACCAATACACATGTAAATAAATCTATCTATATGCACGTAAATCAGTCTATCTATACATACGTAAAACAATATGTCTATACACACGTACATCAATCTATCTATACACATGAACATCATTCTATCTATACACACGTACAACAATCTATCTATACACACGTTTATCAATCAGTCTATAAATGCATACATCAATCTAACTATACACACGTATATAAAACTATACACACGTTCCTTAATCTACCTATACACTCGTACATCAATCTACCTCTACCCACGTATATAAATCTATGTATACATACGTACATCGCTATATCTATACACATATACATCAATCTATTTATTATAATCACGTTCGTCTCTTTATTTTTTTAAATTCGAGAAACATATAAACTGCTTTAATCAGCGTGAAATTCTGATCAAGGCTGGCTGTAGAAGTCTAGTGAGTCAGAATTTGACAGATGTGTCCCATTCATGTTAATATATATATATATATATATATATATATATATATATATATATATATATATATATATATATATATAGTTGTGTTTGAATATCGCAGAAAATCTCTACAATTCAAATAATACAAATTATCGAAACCGCATCAAACATCAAATTTCGATAGGTTGAAGTTAAGAATAACTGGACAGCTAATGTCGCCAATAAACCCTATGAGCATAGGTAAAATGAAGGACAGCTGGAATCACGGAACCCTAGTGACGGGAAGTCCCAAGATCGCCACATTATCACAATTAGAATCATAATAATAGAGAAAATATATTTCTTTTTGTTTTATGTCCTACTATACAGTATTAAAGAATAACTGGCCTACAATTTTAATGAAATAACTACTGAATTATTTAGTCTATTTCTCACTTGAGAACTATTAGTTATATTTGTCTAAGATACTACAAAGAAAATCAGTGATTAAAGCCAGAGGGTTCGTCCTACAGCACGCGTTGATGTGTACGTCATCAAAATCCCAATTATATTTTCGGACCTGTATAGACTCCTTTGGTCGAACGTTTCCTTTTTGTGATTTTAACATATTGTATTATAACATTGGCTACATAAAGTCAGCCAGGAAAAATATTTTCTAGTCAATGTCTCAGGCGTAACGTGATTGGATTGGTTATGAAGCTGAACTTGTGTCAACGGTGTTTTATGGGGGATAAAAGATGCAAAACCTGTCAACATATGATAGAGACCAAGACATTCACTAGCACAGTGACTAAAGAAAAACTAAACATACATGGTCCAAACAAAACGTGCAAAACAGAGAATGTGATTTATCTCATCACATGTAAGATCTGTGGCCTTCAGTACGTGGGAGAAACTGAAAATCTACACATAAGGATAAACCTTCATAGATCTGATTGGATGACAAAAAAGCTGTACAGAAGCCCGGTCGCAGAACACTTCTCCTCCCCTGGCCACACTTTCAGTGATATAATACTTATCGCTATTGCCAACAACCACAGCTGGAGTTCCGAAACCAGGAAGGAAAAGGAATCATACTGGATACGCCGCCTTAGAACATTGAAACCAAGTGGTCTAAACCAAGAAGACTAGAAAATGAAAACTATGCACTAGTAGAATTTAACATTTTCTAAATCTTCTTATCCTTCAATTTTTACTATAAGAATAACTGGTATAGAATCAAATATCCGGGATATCATCTGCGTTACATATGTACACAAAGTAAAAATAGATGTCGCTTTGGCTTGTAGACTTTTAGGGAATTATACAACGTTTTCAGTTTCCGCAATTAGTCTACACAAGCTGGTTGTATTTATAGTTTTAGCACATGTGAAGATAGAAATGTAGAGGTTTACAAACGCAATGTTTTTGTGTTTATTTGTTTGTCGTAACTATGTTTTGTATTTGCCTTTGAAAAAGACTCATTAAGAGTCGAAAGCGCTTAGGCTAGTTAGTTACTAGTTTCGTACTGTTCGTCGTCAGTTTATTGCTTCTATTTTAATTAATCCCTGACAAACGTGATCCCTTGGTGGATCCAGTACGCTTGAGAGGGTTGTTATTCGCCATATGATTTGTATTCTTTATATATATATATATATATATATATATATATATATATATATATATATATATACATATATATATATATATATATATATATGTGTGTGTGTGTGTGTGTGTGTGTGTGTGTGTGTTTGTGTGTTTGTGTGTGTGATTTTGGATTTTTAACGATGCTTTAACAACTTTTCAGTGATATTGCTACAATGTCTCAATTGTGGCAGTTTATTAGTGATGTATAGCACTCGAGCGTAAGGTCGCAGACACGTAACATGTCCTACCCAGTCACATTATCGTGACGCCATGCTGTCCAGTCCTAACGCTAACTTCCTAATGCTGAACGTCTAGCGAGACAGCTGCTAGCAGCATTTTTATAAGTCTTTGGTATGACTCGGCTGGGGTTCGAACCCAGGACCTCCCGCAATTGAGGCAGACGCGCTAACCGCTTAGTCCACCTCTAATATTTGCGAATTCGTAGAAGGTAAAGTTACTTAACTATTGTGAACGATGGTGTGCTAATGTGTATAAATAATGATAAATTTTTCTGTGTGGGACTGCTTATTTCACTTTTCTATCATATTAGGCTTTCATAAATAGTATCGTGTTTAACGGAGATTCAATCTGCTTTTTCTAGACTTATTTAGTAGAAAGTAAACATTGAAACAGCAATAAAAGCCAGAACTCAAGCTTACAAACTGAATAAATTAAGTAGCATTCTAAAAGTGATTTTGTTAAATGTTCGATATCCGAGATACCACATAAATGTTTTCACCTCTTGGCACAGCACATATTTTTACATCAAACATTTTAATTACAATCATCAAGATATGTAAATTGAGATAAGATATGTGGAGAATAATATTCCAGAAATATAATATCTTGTAAATACTTTCACAATTTTAACTTTTCATGCATTTTATTTCTTGCATTTGCAGTTTTTATGTAGGTCATCTCTTCTGACCAACTCAATTCTTCTTGTTTTTATGGTCCTAAATGTTCGCCATTCTGCACAAGTTGTGAGACCGTGTAAAAATCTCTTGGGCAGTTTTAATCTTTGCATTAATTCAAAATTATATTTTTTATTCAAGTGTGCAAATCCTTCTTTGTTCCCACCTTTACTCGTGGTTTGGTGAACTACTGTGAGCGTTTCCGTCGCATCAACAACAATGGTCCCAAGATCGCACCTTGCGTGACCCACAATCCAATTATCATATCCTGCACGGCCAATGACAAAGGCAGGAATCTGTTCCCAGGGAAAGAATTTGTTAGTTATGAAGTAGTCTTCAGCATCAATTTCGAACAAGGATCCTCTAGATTTCGCGGTTTCTATGATACCATTTATTTTTCTAACTTCCTCACTCGTTACGTTGAGAACATTGATTCTTCTTCCGATTATAAGAATACTAGCATTGGGAAAATTATCTGATACGCTTGATACATATTCTAGGGTCTCTAAGAAGCCATCTGTCAAAAGTATATCACCATTAAAATATCCATGCCAATATGTGTTATACAACTTTTTTGCTTGTACATACATCCCCTTAATAGTTGAATTCCACTTTCAGAGTAGTTTAGGATAGGAAATAGATTCCAGTCAGTAAGATTAATCTTGACAGTTGCGCAAGATTCCTTTGTGAAAACAATTAACTGCACGTGCGGTATAAACGTTTGCCAATTATACAATGTGTTATTATAGACCAATACTTTGTCAGAATCAACTGTGTAATCAGTTTTAAAAGATGTAAAAATAGTTATGATTGGTCGATTTTTAAATCCTTGGTTCACGTCATTAAACAAAGATATATCTGAATTCAGGCCAAATTTCCTCACTGGCAGAACTGTTGACCAAGCTATGACAAAGTTTTCAAGTTGTTCCGAAGATAATTCTTCAGTTTCATCATTTAATATTTTTCCAGATTTACCAACCTTTCGTTTCTCGAATGTGTATTTCATTTGGAAGAATAAAACTACCAACGTAATAATGCACGTGAATACCAAAATCAGTCGATACTTGACAATTGTCATTTTTATATTGTATTGGCTTATCTCTTTCCAAACTTCTTTAGTTTAAAACCTGCAAAATATAATACAGCATGAGAAACTCCGATAAAATATGAAAATGCAGATAATAATTCTGGCTTGTTTATATCTTGTAACATAGAGTTATACCAATTTTTCAAAGAATAATCAATCACCACTACACTATCATCGTCGTCGTCGTCATCATCATCATCATCAAAATCATCTTCATCATCTTCATCATCTTCTTATTCAGGTTCATCATCATCATCATCACCATCTCTGTTGCATTTAATGTTTTCAGAAAAGCTGGTTAGTGTAGTGTTGCAATGACTGCTACAACAAATATTACCAATAGTACTTTCAATATAGTATAATCTAAACATAAAGAGACAGACATATATTATTAATATGGCCCTGCGATGGCTCATTTATAAGTATCTCGGCCTTACAGTTTGGTACTGCTTAAAAACGTACCATCACTTCCGGATGTGCCGAGGACAACGCTCTTTAAAATCCTTACCTAGATATAATCTTCTTGTGCTGATGTGCCTTGAAACACCAGAGATAAGATTTTTATGTTAAGAAAATAGAGAATATGCGACATTGTGATAAAGAGTCGTTCAAATGTTATGTCTGTTAATATGGATCAGCTGTTTTATTGTACACAATCAAATCTAAGCCGTCATCCATTATAGAGCGCTCAACTTTTTTTTAACACTAGTCCTTCCTCAAAGGGTATATTTCAATGTCATAAGGAATTCACAAAATGTAACTGTTCGAAGAATCCCACCAGTGATTGAATTACTGGTTTTACAGCAAGTGTTTCAGTTGCAAAGAGATTCTTTTAAAAATCAATACAGATGTTAAATCAACCAGTAAATAAACTTACCAACCTATGCTTGCGTGTGATGAGGTAGATATGCTGCAATTTCGTCCATACAGATCTCTTTAAAACTGCAATTGGAATAACAAAACGGGACTGCACTCTTGAAAAATATCAGTAAATATGTCTGTATCCTAAAATCAGCTAAGTCAGACTGTTGTTTGTACCGTATTTAAGTGGCATTGGCCGAAACGTGTTGAATGCACAGAACAACATTGTCAAAATATAATGAATATTAACAAACAGGCAATATAATAATATAGCCAACCAGCTAAAACCAATTATCCTTTAACTCAAATTGCACGAACTACATTAGAACTTGTATTCCCAATAATGATTCAGTCTATTGTTAGAAATATGTGGAAAATTTGAATATTTCAATGAAGATATAACTGCAATACTAATGCTTCATCCGAACCAAGTGTGGCGTGTTCTGACAAAGTTTATTAATAGTACTATTAAGTTCCTCTTCTGAGGCTTCTTTTTATCTGTATTTTAAAATGAGGGATGTCGGAGGGGAGGATCCACTTTAAGCTCTGGCAGACCGCTTCTCTGTGTGTATCATCGGGCATACTAGTAACATAATCAAAAGCAAACACCATGTAAGATAAGCTATGACAAAATTTCAAAGGAGATGGAGTTTTCAGACTGGTGATAGAGTTCTGGCTCTCTAGCCCACCCGTTAGAAGCCTCCTCAAATCAAGTACTATAGTCGTTATACACATGAAAAAAGTGACTTAGATGACATCGTTACCAATCTTGTGAGACGAATATAAAATCAGCTTTGTCAGATCAATACGCTACAGGAGAGTGTTAAGAGAGTTATCCCTGTTAATTATGTAGTCAATTTAGCTGAACATGTGAGGATTTAAGTAATGCAATGGAATTGGACCGTAGTTACGTTTACGTAACCAATATTCATAATTCTGAAATACTGAATAATCTAGACCAGAAACTTTCACATTTACAATTACAAAAAAGTGAACGAAAACAGTTATTTTTTTAATATGAGCACATGTTAACAGATATTCCAACACGAACCAATAAAATACACCATAATGATGAGCATACTTTTGAAACAGCATCCATACAGAATGCGGGAATGATTGATGAAAGGAATTGCAGTACTTGCTGGAGAATCATCGACTAGAGAAAAATTAAGAGCGTGACCATAACAAAATAGTTCCAATCAAAATAATTGATAATTGCAATGACAAAATTGAAAATTTAAAATATTTCACCAATTTTGACCTTTTGAAAGGGTTCTTGCAAATTCCACCAACGAAAAGGGCAAATGAAATTTCGTCATTCATAACTCTAAAAGGACTTTATTAATATAATTTAATGCCACCTAGGATGAAAGGTTCGTCTTGTATTTTACAACGTTTAATGAACATGATTACATCTGGTCTCGATAATTGTGACGCTTAAATCAATGACGTTATCATTTACAATGACACACAGAAAGATCAGTTGAAACATTTAGAATTTTTATAATTGACTCAATGACACAAATTTGACATTTAATAAGCACCAGATAAATTATTCCAGAATCAAGGAAGAATGTGTCACTTAGATATTGGATTTCCAATACTTTGAATACTGCATTTACTGACCACAAACAGCATACTTTTATAGGTAAAATGAAAATGAAAAATAAAATCAGAGATTATTGTGGCAGAGCTGATGACGCAGGAATACAATGTTGATATCAGGCATATCAAGGAAACAGATAATATAATTTAGTTGTTTCACTGGGGTTGGTGTAACCCAGTATGGTAACTCATGATGTCACATTCATGGGCCACATTCCTGCATAAGCATTCAAAACTTTTATAGACAGTCATGTGCGATAACTCATGGTGTCACCCCCCATGGACCTACTTCCTGCACAAAAGTTCAAAAAATTTATAAACAGTCATTTGGTTGTCATCCCCTCTGATAGTGTCACCCGGTGCGATCAGACCAGCCCTCCGCCCCCCGCATCCACCTAGTGACGCCACTGATCTAATTACAGATACACTTTCACTTGTATAGAAGTACTGTATTTCTTCAAGTATATTTTCGTTATATGCGTAATTTATAACACTTCACCTTATGTATTTTTAAACACATATGTTTGACTAATAATTAAAATAAAACTTTATTACACTACTCTTTGTCTTATAAGGGGAGGTGTGATCTATATTTATTTTTTATTTGCTGGATTTTTAATGATCATATTTTATGTAAATCTATATTTTGTACTTCACCTTGTCCACATTATTTGTATCTGATCAGTGACATTTATTTTGTAAACAATATAATGCATAGCTAAACATTTTCTCTATGACTATTAATTTAGTATTCAGATTGTTATTAGTAGTAAGCATAGTTATTCAATTTGAGTTAAAGACACAGTCATGAATCTGATCCAAGAAACTCCCGAATGGAAGTTTCCTATTAGTTGATAGAATATTTTCAGAAAACGGTAACTGTGACCTAGTTGATGAAGAGGGGTATATAATCCTGTTTATATTTGGATCATTCCTTCTTGTCTCACTTTTCTGAGGAAAATGCTTCTTATTGTTACGATCAGTTTATCATTTTGGTGGAAAAATTAATTCAAGTGCTCAATAATATTTTGGGCTAAAACATTAATTTAAAATCAGTGAATTCAGAGAAGGGCATTTTAAATTATATTATTATGTTGCATAAAAGTACTGTTAAATCACCGCCACACCCTAGGGTATAGACACGTAAGCACATTCGAAACTACAAGAACATAAACACATTCAATGTCGTAAATTATTCAGAATATTATGTCTATTTGGGATTTAATTAAAGCCACTAAGTTTGTTTTAAATTTTCATTTTGTATTAAAGGAAGATAAATTATTTGCTGCATTTTACAAAACTTGAAAATATCAAAATCTTCAATAGCTGAATTTAAAATAAGCATATCCGTACGAATTTGTAGAAATTATCCATGTTGGTGTCTATATTATGCATCAGTGAGAATTTGAATATCTTATAAAGACAATGATCAATTTAATGCCCACGTCACGTGTTGTTTACTTCGATACGAATTATATTCCTTTATACTAATTTTTAAAGTACTTTTAAATTTGTCTTTCCATATTTTACTGTATGTCTCTTGCCTTTTGTTTTTCAATAAAGCGAGCCTCATGGAAGAAGTCATAACAATGCGTGTTACCATCTTTAAATAAATAAATAAATAAATAAATTATTATTATTATTATTATTATTATTATTATTATTATTATTATTATTATTATTATTATTATTATTATTATTATTATTATTATATAAGTTCACAGAGATGTTTGTAACAAAAATAAAAATATATTGATCCAAAATGTTACAAAAATAAAAACATCCCAAACATTTGTACCTCATAGTCTGGGTACTTCAATTGGTGGTGTTTGACTCGAAATCCAAGGGTCGCGGGTTCGAAAACCGCCCAGGACATCCCCGATCATCTTCTCTCAATATCTCCATATGAAAGGTACTTAATCATTCCTCCCTAGAGATGACATAGTAACTCCTGTATTGAAAACGCCATTTATAAAAACAAATCACCTAAACACGCTAGCAATAACTAAAACAAATCACCGTAAATTTCATCTTCCGCAACATTTCAGTTTACATGCATCCTAGTGTTTCGACATGTAGTTACCACGGACGATTCATTTTAATGTATCGGCCTTGCATGTATATACCTGGTACCTAATCAATATCATTCATTGTACAAAATTATTTTATTGATGTCTCAGTCATTACAAGGTACATAATCATGATTCTACGACACTATATAAATGAAAGCTAAGTATAGATATGTACACTAATTAAATGAGCTGTAAATGAAAGCTAAGTAGCTCAAACTCAGATTTGACGCAGATGTATAACCTTGTACAAGGCAGGAAAGACTTTTTTGCACGATATGAGATATTGTTTACTTCATAACGTTGAACATATTGAATAAATGGTGAATTAGTCCAAAATGTTCTTCATGTCGGTTTTCACTAAACTGTTAAAATGGTTAATAATGCAGACCGACTGTCACTGATTTCTACACTAGTTTCATAGCGTGGCTATAAATAAAACAGTCGTGCTTTTCAAACAATGGCGGTCTAAAAATACTGATCAAAATACACGAATACCTAGCAAATGTTTAGTAACCAATCAATAGTCTGTGGAGACTACTTGAAACGAAACTAATCCTGAAATCTAATCACGCTATATAAACGATTGGCGACCTACTTCTTCACAAGAAAAAAAAAACAACAAATTATTGCCGTTATATACCATGAAAAATATACTAGTTTATATCCCATGAAAAATACACTATCTTGATTTAATACCTTCAAAGAAAATAACCTTTTTTTAAAATGACCCTCCCCCTACAGTACCCCACTAAAATTAAATCACAGGACCATAAACATTGAATCAGACACGTTGAATGTAATTGAGGTTAGCTGGATTGACATGTATAATACAAATTTGCAATGACCCTACTCAATGACCCTACTCTCCCCCCTCCCGCATGTGTGCAAATAGTGGAGCAGACAAGAGTAGCTTCCAGGTAAGCGCCCCTTATGCTTGAGAGAAGCCTAACGAGCCATGCAATGTGAATGAATGAATGGCAACACTATACCCAGTTGTTCTGGCAGCTATACTTTTCACAGCCATTAGTTGGGGGTGGGTGGGGGGAGGGGGAGTTTGGTGGAGAGGGGTTACATCAAATATTCGCTGTGGAAAATTTTGACAATGCATTAAAGCCATCTGCCAAAGGAATGGATAATGGATAATCTACTATGGAATTGTTCAATATATATGCATCAAAATGTTGCATTATCATCAGGCAGAGAACTGAAGTTTTAAACACACACACACACACACACACACACACACACACACACACACACACAGCATCAATCAACACCAAAGTAGGAAACTTTATCTGATCAGATAATTTTATTATATTTTTGCTTTTCGCTTGGGATACGGAGTTTACAGTATCTATAATTGAAGATCCCAATTAATAATTCTAGACAGCAAAAGCAAAATAATCTTGACAGTGGAATAAATCAGTGCATTTATTTTTTCATAGTAAATAATTTCAACACTATCACGTGCATCAGAACATTTCTGTCCCACGATGTTATGCACATACAAGGTAATGCCAAGTAGTACAACAATGAAAACCTTGCTATCTTCTCTTGTCTTTCACTAAACCCATCACAAATAAATTTACCTGCACTTCTCTAAACAATAAATACTTACATTACAGCACATTGTACAGTATACACGCTGTCTCTCTGATACTCAAAGACAAACCTGAATCTGCAAAACATTTCAGCCTAACTGTGTGTCTATATTGTTCACAACGACAGGTAAGCAATTGCTCATGCTTCGGGTTAGTGAACACATTAGACTTTTACAGGTTTGCACATAGCAACAAAATAACAATATTTCAGGACACTCTTTGCAAACAGTACTCGAATAACAGGGCTTATGTCGTCTCTTTTATCGTAACATAGATTTTAATGTGTTCGTATAAAGCAATTTGATATTCCAAAACAGTTTAACAGTCTAGATATTGTAATATTCGTTACCAAATTATCACCTGGCACTTTGGTGCGGAATTGAAAGCACATGTTTCAAACACAGGCAGGTCCAGAAAATGCCGCGCCTCATATCCTTTCCTCTACACAGCAGCTAACTTCCAGTATTCATCTATACTGATAAATATAGGTTTGATCATGGGCACTCAGAAATTTTAACTTATTGAATTTTAATATCATGGTGTTTGCATATGTTTACTATGGGAACTGAATTAGTACCAGGAGTCCTATAATTGTCATCCGCCATGGCGTATTATAGCGAATATATGTAAATATTGTTTCAACAGCCGGTTATGTTTGAACAGCATGCTATTTCTTCTATACTCTTTAAATCAGTGATTAATTCCCACTGAACAAATCATTCGTAAAGTAAGGGAAAATAATTCCCGATTTTTAAATGGAATAGCAATGTTGTACAGCTTCATCTCAATTTCCATCCTTCTCTAATGCACGAGGGACAAAATTCGAGGAAATACGTTGAGAGAGAGAGAGAGAAAAAAAAATTGAAGCTGAACTTTCACCATGCAACTTAGAAGAACTCGAGTCTTCATAACGGTTAGATGTACACGTTCCGTGTAATTTGAAATCATTGTTCACAATAATAACGATGCAAACTTGCAAATAGCCAGTCCAGACTCTAGGTCAGTTATTGGTTAGGAGGAACACATACCACATACTGTAATCTATTTAATACTTAGTTTATTTTTTTTTTCTTATTTTTTAAAACCTATTATAACGTTCTAAACACAGAGTGTTTGAAAAATATCTGAAGGCCACAACCAACAAGTCATAACCAATTTCTTCTCTCCCACGAGGTCTATTATTTGGGGTAGGGGATTTCGGGTGGGTTTGGAAGGCAGCACACAAATAGACCAACAAAGAAGCATAGATGGACAGATAGAGGATCACAGATGGATAATGGTTTAACACTGAATTTATGAAACGAGTTAAATAACGTCAAGCTTTTGCTAGCCTAGGCAACGTATTAAACGGCAAGCCTATGGTGGGTTTAATGTCCCTCCCATAACCAACATTGATATTTAATGAGAATCCATTTTGAAACGGTTAGTCAAATGGCAAAGACAAGGTGAGTTTAAGAATTTAAGTTCCGGAAAAATTACAGAGTTGAGAAGATGCACTGACAGTGTTGCAACATTTAAAATAAGTGTCATGAAACGAAATTTAACAACAAAAAAATATTAATAAGAGCAAAATAAAGAGATTAATTCTGACTTTAATGGGCGTGTATTAATAACGGCGGTTAGATAAATTTATTCCAGATTGGCTAGGCTAAATAAGGTGTGTATATTTCCGAAACGGAATTAAATATTGGATAAATTCTCCTTAAAAAATATTAGTCAGTCTATGTTTGCCGGAGGCGAAGTCTTAGCTCTGGGATAATAGCAAATAATCCCTCGTTTTAAATTGTATTAGTCACGGCGTCTGGAAGCTCTAGTAGCAAAATAATCTTAATGGTACAGAGATTCAGCAATGACAGCAGCGAGCTGTCTTGAGATGTTTGTCTCAGTCTCGTGCAATTTTCGTGATATGTATTTCTAATTATTTTCTTTTAATTTTATTTATTTTAAATTCATGCATCAAATGTCCTTTGAGTTCGGAAGACAGATGATTGCATGCTTGTCTTAAATGTTATCTGACTCGTATATTCATATAATTTCATACATTATTTAGAATTTCTTGAGATAATTGCGTGAATTTATATCTTAAATGTTATGAATCATTAGGAAATGAGTAGTCCAATGTCGTAAGAAGTTATCGCGATGGATTATTAGCTAGGCAATAGCTTAGTTAAGACGTGAACTTAATCGATGGTATTAGCATTAAGAGCACCGTCCATACGACAGTTGGTAAAGTTTGTGATTTACATTCCACAGCAGGCGTAATAGTTTACTAAGAGGTCTAGATTATATCGTAGTTCAGTTAGGGATACTGAATAGCCGTTAGGGAAATACATTATTCTATGTACTAAGGTTTATGTCTTAGTAACCAGTCAGCGAACTGATCCATAATAGCATTAGTTTCTGTTGAATTACGTTATGACGATAAATGACGTAATGAGAGAGTGGATAGTTTTTGACCTCTGAAGGAAAAAAATTGACAATGATTTAAGTTGTACATTATTTATTTTAGAAACTTAATAGCCACATATATACACCCATACAGTGAGCAAAGGGTGGACACAACCAAATTACGGTTGATGAAACGAAGAGAGAGAGAGAGAGAGAGAGAGAGAGAGAGAGAGAGAGAGAGAGAGAGAGAGAGAGAGAGAGAGAGAGAGAGAGAGAGAGAGAGAGAGAGAGAGAGAGAGAGAGAGTTAAATTTGGAGGGACCAGCAAGCAACCAGGTTATGCAGGCATACTGGCAGTTGAGTTTATCGCTCACTCGATTTCATGATGAAATTATGTCTTATCGGTTTAAGCAGCTTGGTAATTGCTGTTAAAAGACGTGTACCCTTCAAATGTCATGTTCAGTTTCATTTTCTTGATATAATTGATTAAATTATTCTATTTTGCATGCCGACAATCGTATTGTGTTATTCTACATATCTGCACAGATCTCTGATTATTCCTTCCTTTAATTCCATACTTGATTTTATTATTTACTCGATACGGCAAGAGCAACGTGATCGATCATCTCCTGGAAAACGATTACAGCAAACAAATATTTTACGATAAGTCTGCTTCATCACATCTTTGAAAATTCCATTCTAACTACCATAATCAGCCCCACCCCACCGACTCCACCCCACTCACACCCTCCCCACCCGTAAATATTTAGTTTCACAATAGCCTTTCGTAGAGTTTGGCGCCATACAAACACAGA